GCAGTAAATCATAATTAATTAGTCCTTAATCACATCATCCACTGTATTTCTAATTAATTCTTTATAGATAGTCTACAAAATGGAAAAAAATTGTAGAAGAGATTCATCTAGTTTTGCAATAAAATGCAGCCGTGTAAAATTCCGGTTAATAGTGATTTTACACGTTTGAGCTCGATTCACCAATCAGCGACATAAAATAGAACTTTACCTCTAGGCATATTTTATTATCTTATACTATTTCTCCCTAAATAGAAATAGAGAGATCGATCAAGTTTGTAAGGATGTACTATAATATTTCCCTTTTTGTTTTTGTATATAAGTGATAAATTTACGTTCGCTTGAAATATTAGCAAGATTACGCGTATGAGCCTATGAGGTCTAATCATATTGGGAATTTCAATCTCATATGTTTAACTTTTGTCTGTTGCCTTCCTATTAACTTGGAAAATGATCCATCTAAAGATATCGTTCTCTTTTCCTGTCATTGTCCATAAGCAAACTGTACGAATAAATTAATACGAGTTTAAAATACAGTTATATTATGATTTCTAACTCGCTAATTGAGAATAATAAAATTATTAATATAGAGAGAGTGGCACTTGTATTGGGTTCTATTGGTTCTTTATTAATTAATTATCAACGTATTCACAGATTTTATATGAACTGGTCAATTAAGTGATTGATGTTTACAGCGTTGTAATAAAGTTCTAAGATTTGTTACCCGAATAGTTACTTGGGGCTGGAGATAATACATTGGTTTATTAATTAATGTGGAACTACAACAGTGATCTGTTATAATTACTAAATTAGCGACAATAAATAATAAGGATTTTAAAATGTTATTGGTTTTAATTTAGTAATTTACAGTACAGTATATCTAGATTGGTGCAGTTTATCACCTGTATTCATGTCATGGCTAAGGGTTGAGATACACTTACGAGTGTTCCAGCGCTTCAATAAATATTCAATATCAAACGGAAATGCAAACTAGAACAGATCTCTACCTCAGAAATTATATCAGTGATTGAGCTATTCGACTTTGATCGCATGAGGTTTAATAAGAGTTATTAGAAGAAAATGGACGACTATTTCACTATGCTTTAACCTATGCGCTCCTCATACATTAAACTACTTTACTGCCTGTGTTACGTATTCCGCCTATTGCCTTCTACATACATCTCGAATACTAGTGCATAAAAATGAGGGCAAAGCTTGTTACTGAGAGCTATTAATCCACAGTTGCAGCGTTGTATTTTATCTAACCTGAAATTGATTAATAACTCCTTCTACCTAATTTGGTTATAATTTTGTACCTTAGTGAATTACTTACAACGTACATCGCGATATCAGAGTTGTTGAAGTAAACCTCTTTGATTTGAACTATGGTGCGTAGTGTAGTCCACGCTGTAGTTATCGTAATGCTATTCCTGGATATTATATCATTCTCCTATTAGCTATGATTCTAATTATCTTATTGTTAATTTAATAAATTCATTCATTCATTGAGTACCGTAATTAGTAATCCGAAGGATAGGAGAAAATGAAATTATTTTTCTTATCCGTTTGTAAAACGCAACAATTCTAATTTTCGTGCCTCGTTCATGAAGTTGTTCAACTGCTAACTGCAATTATTAAAATAAACAATGATCATCCTGTCATTTATTGATGGAATATTGTATAGAACTTCTCCTTTCCCTTAGTGTTGTAATTTAGTATTTGCAATCTGTTTTATGCAGTCAAGAACAGAAAGTTGCTAGTACTTGTATGGTACTACCGTGGTGTAAAAGGATTTAGCTTTGCTGTCCTCTCCGCAGTACCTTTCTAAGGCTTTTTATGTTGACCAGTTTGAGTGAATTATTCAGTTCAATAAGCTGTAAAATATGATGATCGTGTAAACCAACAGGTATGGAGCAGAAGGAAATACAGTACTATGCTACCATCGACAACTAAATTGCATCTGGATGTCCATGGTACTACCCGTTGGTTCCGTCGTTCGTTATCTGAGTAACTGTACAGAGCAGCAATTGGATTGTATCCATTAGTGGATTATGTTGATCTGCTGTTGGTGGACGATGAGTATCCAATAGGCGGATATGATATAGTTATTGCTGTCAGTGAATTCTGTATTGATGAAGTCAATAACCTGTAAGTTCATGTTTACCGGGTAAAGGGTATCGTGAAAAGTAGCGCTTTCCTCTCCAACTACTCTGCCACCCAAAGTATTGTGTCGATTCGACGTTGGAGTAGATTATAATGATTCACTGTCTATGTTTAACCGTAAATCATTCTCTCCGTATCTCACTTAGTGGCTTGACCTAGCATTTTTTACTTTTAGTACAGTTGTCTCTATACTGCCTTACTGCTCTGCCTGTTTATTAGGCTACAGTCCCTTTGTAACTTACTGCTACTATGTATAACATATCCATATCGCTGAAAGTAATCTATAGGTTCAAAAATTCTGATGGTCTATCAGCATCACTATGAAGAAAAGGAACAATTATCCCTATTTCAGCTGTCCTTCAACCGAAATTCGATTGCCTATCACCACCTTCTACACTTTTAATAAGCGCTTGTACAAACAGGAAGGTAGAAAAAGCTGCGAGCTGCTGTTGACCAAGACGACCACTTCTATCTTCCCGGATGAAGTGGACGTGTCCAATGTCCAACGTCCATAGTACAGTACTTTACTGTACAGTGTACAGTACACAGTACACTGGCGTGTGAGCTACCGGATTTTGCTTAATCATACTGTAAGACAAACAGTACGCGTACAACGATACACAGTACAGTCCAAGTCTGCATTTTGAATTTTCACTTACGTCATTCTACAGTCAGATTCAAGGTAGCCGGGTCACTGTGGTAGGGCTTGGTACTGTAACAAATTTGAGCGTAGAGGATTGACAGCGTTTCTATGCGTTTCTATACAGTTTTATATGGGAATGATTGACAGCGTTTCTATGCGTTTGTAGAGAGTTTTGTATGGGAATGATTGCTCATCATTGGGCACATCCACAATATCATACGTAACTGTACTCAGTGTACTACCGTACTTTGCACTGCAAACTACGATACAATGTCCTGTACTTGCATGGGTATATGGACATTATCTGGCAGCTCCTTAAACCGGTAGTAGAATTCCTTCAGACCATAAGAATCTTACCACCAGGGTTGTGAAAAAAAAAAAAATTGTTTTTACTGTTCGTTGTCTCAATTTGAACAGAACTTGAGCAGCCTCGACGAGTCAAGATTATCGCCATGATTTCAATGAGAACATCTTCCGTTGTGGGTTATGTACCTCAATCCAGTGAGCCTCATCATTGTGGTTACTGCGGAAAAAATGGCAGTCGTCATGCGGCAGGTAATAGTCTATCAATGAATAGCCAATGAACAAGGGATAGAAAATACCCTTCATAGTCAATGTTGTTCTTAGTATACCGAAGTGCAGTAGACAGTCCGATACACTATCTATTTCACTCACGAAGCCAATGAAAAAACTGAAAACCACCATGGATAACGACACTGCCAATACTTTCTTCCTAGTTTATCTCATGTAGTTAAAGTAACTCGTTGATAGAATAGGAGATGGATTACAAAATGGGCTTAGCTTAACGTCCAGAAAGAAAGAGACATCTTAGTCATGGTTGACGGTCGTGGTACCAGTTGTAGTCATGCACAATCAACCTGACACTCATCGATGACGTCGTCCTCCAAAATTGTCGTACTCTCCAATCGTGTTCACGAAAGTGAGAGTGACGTGTCGACGTTACCGTTCACCAGTAACCATGGTGAGGAAGAATCTTGCAGCAAAAAATGGCCTGTATCAACGTAGATTGAAGAAAGAATCCATTTTCTACGTATAGAAAAGTGTCAATCCAATCGATAGCCATCTTCTAGTTAGGCTTTGGAGATGTTACAATGTACAGTATGCATCAATGCCAGTGTCACAAAATGATTTATAGCCAGTCGCTGATTCGACTGGTCCTTGCGTTCACTGAAATCCACTTCTACTCCTGACTGGAGTGGATAGCAGTTGAGTTGGTTTTGATCACCATTCTCATCATTCAGCGGATTCCAATTAGTTTGTCAATATTTTGAAATCTCTTTATACTTGTTTAATGGATGACCTGGACACTCGCAAGGTTGAAACGCTCGCCTAGATATGGATTTGAATTAACTTGAAGGGCATAATTAGTTAAAGTGCCTTAGCGATTA